CCACCGCTGCTGCAGCTGTGGGGCACACGGTGGACATCGTCGAAACCGACGGTCGAACTGTCGTATGTAAAATAGAAGCTATTGGGAATGTACGGTTGTACTTTGAGTGGTTGAGAAATAGTTGCCCTAACCCTTATCCCTAACCTCTAACTCTAACCCCCAACCCCAACTGTATTGTGTCCATCAGGTGGGGCTACATAACTACATCTTACCTAATATAAATGATCGTGCAGCATGCCCGCAAGACATTTCGTTCCCACCAAGATGCCGACGTTTGAATGCGCTTCACTCTGACCGCTTGCGAAGAGCACATCTAGGCAAATAGTAACTACTTAAGTAGCATTATTTGTAATATCAATTTTTGAATCTCATATAAATTCAAGTAAATTTCGCAGAAGATGCGCACCTAAGCGTCCTTCCTTGTACTGACATGGTTGAAAATCATGTCCTCAAATTGTCTACCCGAGAAAAGTCAGTGCAAAAAGATCACACTATTTAAGTGGTCGTTCTTTATGCAGGGTACCTTTGCAGGCGCCTGGAAGGCTGCAAATTCTAGAACTGACATCCTTCCGGGACAGAAATATATCAGGATTATATTGCAGGATAATCAGTATAAAAAGGCTCGCCCTAGTAAGCATTTCAAGTTAAAAATACATTTCAGAATTTCAGTAAATATATGATATGCTATCTACGGCAAGTGACCTTAAGCCGCCTGAACCCCATCGCGGAGAATGTACCAATCAACCGGCTGCTTCGCTGTTTTCGGATCAGAGTCTGCCGAACCATAGACTGGTTTGGAGAGATTTTTTTGTGCCGTTGGTACTGTCGTATTTTCTTAAGGGGGCGAACATCCGGATGGATATTAAATGCCTACGCTTAAGATTATTCAGCACCTACAGATCAGATTTAATTTGTTGATTAAAAAACTCATTTCCGCGAGGCAAGTATCGGCTTGAACAACTGAAACCCTAATTGTGACAGAAGTGAACCCATGCTCACTTTAAAAACCATATTTCGTCGAACGAGAACGTCCGCGCCGACCACCTGACTTCTCACCCGATGTGGTGGTATGAGTAGGAGTTTTTGTTCAAACTTGATAGGCGTGATTAGCCCAGTAAAGCAACGTGCTCTGTGTCACTACGTGTTTATGGGGGCCGGAAATGCGGAAAACAAGAAGGATGAAAGGACGGCCGCGGTCATCCCAATAAATTGCCGAGAGGCCTTCGTCCGCAGTCCTAACAGGCCGAAGCAAACAGCGTCGCGCGAATGGCAGTTGCCGGATTTGACGGCGCATAATGTCTGGCGCATAGATGCCGGCTTGAAAACTGCATTGCTTGCATGCTGGTGGAAGCCCTCTTAAGGCGGTTGGCTGGGACTTTGGATTTCTGCGTCAAGTCCTATTTTCCGAAGAGGAATCCTCTTCTGCCTCGAGAAGACTTAAAAATGAATTGTGCGCAACTGGGTGTGGGTGTGGCGCTATCTGTCACATGATTGCTTGACTGAAACTACAGGTTTATAATTTCCTCAGAAGTTAATCGCTAATTTTTAGGGTTGGATACCAGTGTCGCAACACTCCGTTACTGATGCTAGTATTTTTGCAGTTAGTTACCCATACTGTAAGCATTGGTAGAGTAGCATTGGCAGCCGTGGTGGCGGTGGTAGTAGTAGTAGTAGTAGTAGTAGTAGTAGTAGTAGTAGTAGTAGTAGTAGTAGTAGTAGTAGTAGTAGTACAAATAGTAGGATTATTAGTAGTATTCGCCGTATCAGTGGTGGTAGACGGGGGAAAAAGCTTTCTTCAGTGTTGCGACACTGTATTCCCGCCAGTGGTAGTAGTATTAGTAGTAGCAGCGGTAGTAGTGGTAGTAGTAGCAGTATTAGTTGTGGTAGTAGTGGTGGTAGTAGTAGTAGTAGTAGTAGTAGTAGTAGTAGTAGTAGTCCGCCCGTAAGACAGGCTGGTGGGGGAATAGACAATTCTAAGTGTTGCGACACTGTATTCCCGCCATTTGTAGTAAATCAGTCTATTTGATACTTCCAGGTCCAGCCTGGTACTGTCGGCGAAATAGGTGTCTGGGCTTTTATCTGGCACCTGTGCTGTTGTGAAACCCATGCGTATACTATTGGTTGTCTGTTGGCAATTAAGTAGTATTACGCGGTTAGTACGCTGTGGCTAATGGATTTCAGTCCAGATATCCATATTAGAAGACGAGTTGGCGAGCATACGTAGCTTTCGATAAATTCTCGTCGGGTCAGTACAGTTATATAGGAACGGGGTAGAAGTAAAACATGCAAGCGATAAGAGAAGTCGATAAAAGTACTCCTTAAACAAAGGCGGGATGGGGGACTGTGGAGGAGGGGGTGGGGGTAATAATAGTCATTGTCAGGGGCGGGGTGAGAGCGCAAGTGCGCGGGGGAAGTTGCACCGTTAGTCAGCCGTCGACCACTGTAGGTGCGGAGCCTGAACGTGGTTCTTCTGAGCGCATAAGGTTGGCTTTCGTAACCTAATGGCGGCCGCTTCCGCTGTCGCTAACAGGCGTTGGCCTAGTAGCTTAGGGTAGCTCGATGGAACCTTATAAATCACACGAAAAGCTTCGTTGGGGTCCACTCGATGTCCGGAATCGACGACATGCGCGAGAACGGCGCTGCTTATACTCCTCGTTTCGCCTTTTCCTAGCCATGCCGGGAGGTGTTCGCGTATTCTTTTGGATAAGCGCCGACTCGTGCGACCAATATAACCTGCTCCACAGGAGCAAGTGAAGGAATATATGCACATTGAGGTGGTCTGCGGTGGCAACTTATCCTTACCTTCTCCGCGTAATGTAGGGTTATTAGGGAATGATATTTGAACCCTTGCTGCTGGGAAGGTTCGCGAGACAGCTTGATCAAGGCGTCTCCTAAGGAGTTCACTCGCTTATCGCTTGCATGTTTTACTTCTACCCCGTTCCTATGTAACTGTACTGGCCCGACGAGAATTTATCGAAAGCTACGTATGTTCGCCACCTCGTCTTCTGATTACTGCTATGGGAATTTTCGCAACTCTAAAACATATCCATATTCATTTCATTCTGAGCCTATAGACTGATGTGCTCAAAGTTAGCGAGTAATTTTTGAGGAAATTAAAAAGCTGCAATTTCAGAACTGATTTATCTACCAGAAAAAAAAAACACGAAAAACGCTGGAGACCTACTGATGAATCGAACCCCCCCGAAGTTGTGCATTGCTGCGGCAGAATGCCGTTGAAACACGTATCTGGGTTTTAATTAGTACCTGTGTTGTCAAGTATGGTATATTGGGCAACCAGCGGGACCTTTTTGTAAAGTGAACAGCTTGTTACCTACGGCATGCTCTACCCACAACTGGAAGGACCGCAAAGCGCAGGCCGGCGCACTGATGCCTCATCGTCGGTGAGTATCAGAATTGCAAGCAGGTTGCTTGAACAGGTCAGTGCCATTCATTTTGCCACCTTGATCGTTTATTTTTAATACTGACGCATAATTTAAACACCTAGTCCTGCGCCAGTGAACTGAGTTGTGATGTCGCCATGTTCGCTGATGATGTTAAACTTTGGAGCGTCATCCGAACTGAATTTGACGGAGAGCGCTTGCAGGCAGACCTGGCCCGACTTGAGAAAGGGTCACAGGACTGGCATTCAATTCGTCCCCCTCAGAAACTGAGATAGCGCCAATTATCCATAG